AATGAGCATAATAAACAACATTATTCAGGTGTATTCATTAATCTCCGAGTGTATTACACATTTTGTACACTATATAGCAATAAAATTAAGAAATAAAAAGGTGAAAAGGTAAAGCTATCCCTGTAGCAGGCGGTGAAGGCCCATAAGGCTGTGAGACACCGAGGCTCCCATATTTTCTAGACAATCAGCTCATAGATGGCAGTAAGGTTGTCAGCCTTATGTGCTGGCAGCCCTTAAACCCCCCTCCCTCCCCGGAAAATTCCTGCTATTCATTTCTGTTAGAGGCTCAGTCGACCCAAGGGCCACAGTGAGGGGGGAACGATTGGGTCAATTGAAATATCCAGTGACCTCACTGGGAATCAAACCCGTGACCTTCCAGCTTGAAGTATAGTGTATCAATCTACAGTACTGCCTTCCTCACCAAATACAATGAATGACCGCATAAATTTTCATGACATCCAGAGTTTGGAGTTCTAAACACTGAATGTTCATAAACAAAATTTCATGAGAAATAACTGTTTCCTTGTCTAATATCATTAATTCACTTCATGGAGCACAGTCCTTGTTGAGAAGCTAGTAATGACTTAGCTGGCCATGAAAGGAACTGAAGGTACATTACCGTGGTCAAAAGAGCATACGACAGAAACCCACTCTGACCAAGTTAACTTCCCAGTACTCTAATTCGATACTTCAACCTTAACATCATAAGCCTTTCATTTTTTTTTTTATCCTGACATAAGCCAGCTACATATTTCTTATTTCCCTCATACTTCCCACATGTCTCCGAAATCTTCATTCTGAGCAGCCCAGTAATATTCTGTCCACAGTACCTCTTAAGAGGTTCCTCATTACATGATTTTCATCATCCTCATGTTACTTCCCCATTTTCTGATCCAAACATTCTCCTCAGCACATAATGTGCAGACTATAAAGAAAAGAACAGTGTTACATTCAAGTACACAGGCATCTGGCAGAATGAATGAATGCATAAGGGGTGGACCACAATTATCTGGCCCATGCACTGTGACGTTCAATGATCTATTGTGCTTCCGCTTTTGAGTAACCCTTTATCAGTCCTACACTTCAAATGAAATGTAGGACTTTCTTTATGGGGACATCATAATAGTCACTTGGTTCCATAAAAAACTGGCCCAAGTAATGAAATCTTAAATAAGCCATGGCCTCACAATCACATAGGATATGTGTGGCTGATTCAACCTCTTCTAGGCACCTTAAACTAGTGGGATCATCTGTCAATCTCAGCTTGAAAAGGTGTCATATCCAGTAAATACATAGTCCTATCATCCATCTTAATTGGTCTCTGTTTAGTTTCAACCGATCGTTCTTCTGGCAGAGGGTCACAGTAAAATTCCCTTTCCTGTCTGAGTTCAGTTACGGATTCCCAATGTTTTTGTTATTTATGTTCGTCCAGTCCCTGATCGCTTTCTTGGCAACTCCTACTGAGATGCCGCAAGCTGGTGCTGGTCCTATGAACAGCTGTTCAGATCCCATCTTGAGAGCTGATCTGCTGTTTCATTACCAACAATACCCTCATGACCTGGCACCCATATCTGTTGAACTCTGTTACATCTGGTCAGTTGTATAAGGGATTGATGGCACTCCCAGACCAGTTTTGAGGTGATCTGGTGGTTGCCAAGTGCTTTAATTGCAGTTTGACTATCTAATAGAATATAAATATTTCTGTTTCTATAGTTCCTATCTATGTAAGGTTTGAGGGTTTCACAGTGGTGATTATGAAGAATGCCATCTTCTGGGATGTAGATTTTGCAGCCACCTGCCCATGCTGGTTCCTTGCTCACGGATTTCTCTACCCTAAAGATGAAGACAATACTTTCTTCTGACACGTCGGTTCGCACAAGATCTACACAGCACCACACCCCAAAAGACGACATTCTTCAGTTGCTATCTAGACTCTCAACAGTACATGCCTTAATGATATATATTTCCACCTGGAATACTGTTGTGTACTGCCCAAGGCTGAAACTAAGGTTCTGCCTTGTGCCCTGGCCGTACACCTCAGCTCCAGTGCTTTTATGTGTCTTGCAGCCATCTGTGTACCAGATTAGTCCCTCTTTCTTTTGGGTTAAATCCATCTTTCCATTCACATCATCTGGCAGAAATATATATAATTATAAGGAGGCAAGCACCACAATGGCACAAAGAAACAAGTACTGTAAGAGACTGTAGTTCATAGCAACAATGTAAATGTCACATAGAATAAATCATGTTATTATTAATTATGCCACATGTTGAACTTAACTAAGAATTTTTGGCCCTCATTAGACAAAGAAAGTTCAACCTTCACATGTTAGTTTCATCTGATATAGAAATTATTTGTTTATTAACATATCTGCTGCCTAATTATGATGGAAAGCAGCCTTCCTGTGCCTGAACACACACATACACATATTTTAAAAAGAGAAATAAGGAACTACAGTAAATCCTCATTATCACAGACAAAATATGGCTGTGTACAATTGTGGATTTTTAAAGGTACTGAGGGACTAAGAAAGTTCTGTAATTAGAAAACGATTTAAAACAAAAAAAGAACCCCAATATAAAAACCTTTATGTAATCATATCATGTTTTTATGTTTCTTGCTTGTATTGGTGATGTATGCTATGGTGCACTTCCATGAATACCCCTTCACTGAGTTATAGTGGACACTGGTTATAAGGGACAACCTGTTCCCCTATTAGTCCATTACAACATGGGTTTACTCTACATTATTTTGATTTACAATGCTTCTGTGTGAAAGTTCACCATCAGTACTACAGACCTTCAAAACTACACCATTTTGTGCATGTATTCATTGTTTCTTATACATACGATGGGACATACTGAATAAGTACAATTTTTGTGTGAAACTTATAATGATATGACAGATATTAAGCATCATGTAACACTATGAGAGTAGCAACATGCAACAGTAAAATTAATCTCAGAGTTCAAAAATTATATTCCAAGAGCAAAGAGAAGAAAGAAAGTTTAAAAATGTGGCTTACTACATCATATTAACAGCATCATCAGTGTATAAAATACAATGTACAGTTATGTGAATTCACCATGCAATGTAAAGTCAGCTTTAACGTAGATCACTTAATTTCTGCCTAACCTCAGTCCAACATCATGCTAATCAATCATAACCCACCCCAATATGGTAAGTGCAATACACAGTTTTCCGTCTGAGGCGTTTGGAAGTAATACAACAGCAATAAGATAAAAAACACAATGCAAATCATCCTGTGCTATCACCACAGTCATAATTCCTTTTGTATTATTTTTAATTAATTCCAAATTCAAATCTCAGGCATAACTTCTACATAAGAAACATAGATAAAAGTTTTAATAACTGCAATGTGCAAAATACACTACAGAGTTTCATTCAAGTTATCCCATTCATATATCCAACCGTTTGATTTTCAGGATGGTGAGTGAAGGAAGTAGGATGAATCTTTTAAACAATTCCTACACGGTATATCGATCTAAATCTTCACCTTCAAGGCTCTAACATTCTAACCAAGTGCGAGAGCATAAAGCCAAGCATCTTCATCATCATCCCCTAAGTGGTGTCTTTCTATGTATCATCAGATCACAATATTTCATCTCTCTTAACCTTATCATCACAACATCATCCACTCCTTCACAAAGAGAGTTTCATCTATGGACATTGACTGGTATCCACCTGGACGATACACTGAAAACACCCTCAAAGTTTGAGACAACATATTGTGACATGTGGCACAATGGAGGATCCCCCCCTCTGCACTGTGACGTGGCGTGCAACGCCGCTGTCGACGCGGCGTCAGGCAACAGTGGTACCGATTATGTAACAGGCAAAGACTGCAACTATATAAGGGAACTACACAGCCGCCGGAATCAGTTAAAGGGTACCAGCCACCGAAGTAAGTTCTCAAGACAGCTGCCTACGAGTTGAGTTGAATTGTAGTAGTCACCGAGTTCAGTTGTAACGAGTGAATCATGACAGAGTGAAGAAATTTGCGAATATGATTATAGACTGTGAAACCCCGCAACAGTGTGAATAGATTATTGCGAATGGGGTTATCAAGTGTGAAACTCCGCAACTGTGTTATAAACAATTGTAGCCGAGATTTGTAGGTCGTTAAATAAACCAATTAACATGGTGAACGGCGTCTTCAGTAACGTAACACGTTACAATATATAGATGTATTACATATGACTGTGTAAGAAGAGTATCTGTGAAGCCACATTATAAGGATGTCATATACTGTGTGTGACAGGAGTGAAAATTTTAAAGTAATGAATAACTGCTGGACAAAGCAGTGGTCCACAGGTACAATACTATGTCTATGGGCTCTTACAGCTCTTTCTTATACATTCAATCTCAACTGTACATACATACAATAGTCAAATACAGATCTGCCAGCAGAAGTATCATATTATTTATACAGGGAAAGTGATATGTGAGCATTTGTTGATGGAAAATACAGTGAAAGAAATGTGCCATGAAACAGAAATGATATTTGGAATTCCAATCAAATCCTAAGGGACCTGAATATTTTTCTGGTCCTCAATGCGTTAAAGATTTACATTCTATGCATTATTTATGCATATAGGAACTTCAAATTTTACATCTACTTTAATTACACATATGCACTCATAACAATGACTGTTTCTGAATTTAAACAGACACTTTCCATCAATGTAAGGATTCATCTGAAAGCATAACTGCAAACTAACTGCCTCGTAAACAGTAACTATAGGACTCCTGACACATTAACAGCTTTTTACTCAGCACTGCAGTATTAAAAGTGAACCTCAATAGATACAAACACATAGTAAGCCAGATAATTTAAATTTACGGTGAACAATATGACTATGTTTCACTAACAGAAGATACAACAGATTATACTACATGATTACACAAATTCTGTACACAAAGCTGACACATCTACTTCTAATAAATAACATACACAGCAAATCAACTGAATACTTACCAGTGTTGTCTGCTCCACGAGGAATTATAACATCTGCATATTTCTTTGTCTATAAGCAAAAAACAAGAATTAAATTAGAACTAGATGAAATCCAAATGAAAGCAACGGGGCACATGGAGTAACATATATGCAGGGAATACATGTTACATACATTGTACTCCTTTCATTTAAAACACCAAAAGCTCTATTCCCATATATTTTATTACACACACATTTTATTATCTGCTTCCAGTCTGTTGATACACAAGCCACAAGTTTTAAAATGATATTTATATCATTGGTCACCAAGTTTTGTTGCTGTTTTGTTGTCATGAGGGTGAATGCCCGGAGGACAATGAGATGGGTAGTGTGTGTACCACTGACGGAAGAGTTGAGGAATGGTTGAAAATGTTAAGTCAGGAGACATTATGGGAAAAGCCACCTGAGACCCAGGTATGGATGATCAGGTTAATATTCAGAGGAACCTTAACATTTACCCACCGCAAGTAAAGTCCATTTCCCAAGATATAAAGTTGAAGCCATATGAATTGGAATGCAATGTCCCATTATATCCAGATATAATTAAAAAATTTTTAATTCACTCTTCTTCACTATGTTTTTCTGAACTGTTTCTCTAGGCATTAGAGAATGTTACACATTAATCTGTGATTGAATTTTCCACTGCTCAGGGGCAATTATGTTTATCATCTTTCTGCTGGGAGTTGCAAAATCTTGTAATGTTTGTAATTCTTTCCACAGAACCATTCTGATTTTGCAAGTCCACAGAACCTCAAAATGATGCACAAATATCTAATAATGCTTAGTGGACACTTTCGCTTATTTTATCAACTCTTTCATACAATGCACATCCCATAAACCTACTTATTTCACCAAGATACTCTGACATGACTACTTAAACACTGTTTGTTGCTAGGCAACAGTTCAGGTTATGTGTTCAATAAATTCAATTATCACTCCAAACCCCATATCTAGTCACTAATATGTGACAATATTTTTATTCAAAAGAATGCCAATATAATGACAACAGTAATGACTACTAACGTCTAAAATGTTTTTTATAGGCCAAACACTTATCTGTTATTGAATCATTCACTTTATAGTGATGGCTGTTTTTTGTAACATCCTCCTGAAGGTTGAAACGATCTTGACAATTTTCTTCAATCAATGATTCTTTCTTTGTTGTCCCACAAAACTTCAAAATGAGACACAAATATCTAATGATTCTTAGACAAGACTTCTGCTTACTTCTTCAACCATTTCATAAAATCAACAATCTCTAAACCTTGTTTTGTTATCATGGCACTTGTGTTGAAAAATGTCAATACAATAAGAATAATGACTATATACATCTGAGATGTTTCTCTAGGCATCAAACAAATGACAAAGATTTGTAAATGTAAGAGTCCAATAAATCCAGTTATGAATCCAAATCCCATATAGAGTAACTTAATATGTGACAATATTCTTTGTAAAAAAAACATCGTATTTCCACTAAAAATGATGTTCTTTACAGAAAGTAGCTTATTTCCACACTCACAGTTACAATCCAATAAACACTAATCAATTCATTTAGCTTTTTCCATCAAATACAGAACTGGGTCAAGCTATTAGTGTTACTCTGAAAGGACAGAGAGAATGAAACTGTTTTCTTCCTGAAATTAATCACAAAATTTCATATAAAAATAAAAATGCTTACCGGTGAGCAGAACTCTTCAAACGCAGGCTTCACAAAGTACATATACTGATTCAACACTTGATCCAAGTCTCTGCCTCTTTCTTTTATGTCTCTTGGAACTAGACAAAAAAAAACACACAAACAAGGGTTTATTGATGTCCCTTCAATGACGCAGACTGTAACTTCAATGAACCAGATCAAGGGAATCAACTTAATGCAGTTCATACTAGCAGGGAGTAGGGACATGGAACTATTATTTGTCAAAAGAATGTCTATGGCAACTCTTGTGATACCACCTACCTGCATAAGGCCTTTTTCTGAACAAGCACCGAGCACTTATTCATAAAATATTTAAGTTCCACAAGTGATCTGATTAGGTGGCTACATTATCATCTGACAGACCCATTTAACATGTTGATAACTCTAAAACACGTGCCAAGGGAATTAAATCTCTATTCATCAAATTTTATCTTTGTTAAACTGCACTCAAGTTGGACTTGAAAGGATTCTGTCGATGGTGTATACTGTACTTCTTCTGGACTTCATCCATCGTCTGGTATGTAAAAGACAAAAGACCACGACATTTTGCAGACTGGATCTGTCTCCGTCTTCAGGTGGGTAGGGAAGGATAAACTTACTCAGTTGGGCCCGTTAGAAAGAGCCAGTCACAATCACAATCCAGGGATTGAGACTAGCTCTTTCTAACGGGCCCAACTGAGTAGGTTTATCCTTCCCTACCCACCTGAAGACAGGGACAGATCCAGTCTCCAAAACGTCATGGTCTTTTGTCTTTTACATACCAGACGATGGATGAAGTCCAAAATAAGCCAAAAGAAGTGCACTCAAGTTGTATAAGGGATGTTCAAATTTCATCTGGACAAAAGCTTTGCCACATAACATATTACTACTGTCTGTTCTCACGGCACTGTTTAATGACTTTACCTTTTCAACTATTAGAAATACTTATCTAAAGATTAACTAAAAGGTCAGATCATTATATAATTTCCAAGCTACATACAATTAACATTCTTTGTATTTTAAGATTCACATTTTACATTCTAAATAAAATGAACATGGATTCTCTTCTTACCTCTACGTGCTAATCTTGTGTCAGAATCAGTATCAACAAAGAGCTTCATATGAAACAATTCCCGAATCTCGGGAAAATAAAATACCAAAATTCCTTCAAACAACACAACATCTGCTGGATATATTGTCGTGAACTGATTATCACACCTGAAAATGAATTGAAAAATAGCAGAACAAAACACAATAACTCTTGTTATCTTGCACATTTACCCTTCTTCCAAAGAGCATATGTCCATTTAATCGTTGCACTTCTAAAACCATAACCATTGAGGAATACACAGCATGTCCCCAATAACATACACACAGACAGATCATTACCAACTCAATGTATGGTCTTGGAAGTCAAATACATTTATTTCAAATAATTTTCTCACTGCAAGTTATTAATAATGCATGTATGTTGTTGAGAAGCATAAAATGTGATGTTATGACTAGGGAAGTATTCTTGTTTGGACACATGTATGAGTTACTTCATTTCTTAAATTTTAGACGTGGTTTGATGGTGCATATAAATACATATTTTGCCTGTTTTATGAATAAGCATACTATTTTTGAAGATCTCTATTTATGCTGCATATTTTATTTTCAAAATGTTTATCACTGTATCATCATCATCATCATCATCATCACTGGCACGACAGCCCTTTGTGAGCCCTGGCATTCCTCAGGATTGCTTGCCTTATCATGGTATATATTTTTTAATTTTTTGTTGAAATTTTCAGTCTTTGTTGTGTGTATATAATTTTTCTTTACCTTATTAGGATATGCTGCATATGTGACTTGCAACATTTCATCATACAAATAGCAAGTTGAGCCCGGATTCATGTTTCTGATGCAATACCCAGGATGTACCCAAGACGGGTCTTCCCCAATCCCTCTTATTCATAACTTGCTTCATCTGCACACCATCAAAGTGGCTGTAAAGGGATTAGTTGGAAGCATATTCACAAGTAGCTGCTAGCAATGTAATACTATTCAACTGATACTTGACTTCATTTATTTATTTCTGAAGTCTCCATCATGTTTGCTATACTCATTCATTTGGAGCTTGGGGTCATTCACATTAGTGGTGACTAATCTGTGATTAAGTTTGTTTAGCTTTCTGTAGCCATGCCAAAAGTGAAGTAAGTCACAAAACTAAATTACAGCTGTATCAGTGAGAGTTTGAAGGAGAGATGACAACTACAGACAACAAAATTCTTTATTGCCGAGGATGTGAGAAAACGTTTGTAAAAAGGTTTCAAGTCCTTCAGCATCTGAACAGAGATGATAACTACAGACAACAAAATTCTTTATTGCTGAGAGTGTGAAAAAACGGTTGTGAAAAAGCTTTCAAGTGCTTCAGCATCTGAACACTGATATACACATAAAGAATATTAAAATTAAATCTATAAAAAGTGCTCTTGGTCAAAAATGGCTTCATGATTTATCTAACAATAGTTTTTCACAGTTCTCCTTTGACTTGTGCGAAGCCTTTTCAGTGGTAGATATTCCACTGTGTGAACTTACCAATCCTACTCTGAGAAATTTCATAGAGAAGCACACAGTGCAAAGTGCCAGATGAATCTACTGTGCGCAGAAATTATGTGAAGCAGTGTTATGATCTTACAATTGTAAACATTAGAGATAAGATTCAAGATAATTTTGTGTGGGTATCAACTGATGAAACACAAGACTGTGAGGGATGCTTTATTGCAAATATTCTTCTAGTTAGATTCCTTAATAGGAATGAACAATCTACCCCATACCTTCTTGCAGTAGAGCAATTTGAAACCACAAATAGCTCTACAGTTTCTGAGGTTTTTAAAAATTCCATGAATTACTATGGCAAAACGGCATTCAGTATGACCGTGTATTGCACTTTGTGACTGATGCCACAACTTATATGTTCAAAGCCAGTACTGCTCTTAAAGTTATGTACCCACATATGACTCATTTGACTTCCCTTGGCCGTGGGTTGCACCATGTTGCAGAAACAATTTGTGCAAATTTTCTGCTTGCTGACAAGTTTGTGTCTTCTGTGAAGAAGGTATTTGTTAAAGCACCATATAGAAAAGAAGCTTTTAAAGCAGTAGCTACGAATGTTCCACTTCTGCCAGAACCAATTTTAACGTGCTGAAGCATGTGGCTGTGTGCAGTAAGTTATTATACTAAATATTTAGAAGCAGTCACGAATGTCTTGAATACATTAAATCCCAAAGTGCAGCATAAATTCAAATTGCCCAAGATGTATTAAAAAATGCAGAACTAGAAACTAACCTTTCCTATATATCTGCTCACTTCTCTCATCCTCCATCCGCCATTTACTCACTGTAGCAATAGCAATACTACTTTGTATCAATCAATAAGTGTACTCAAAGAAACTGTTTCCAAACTGAATTCGGTTCCTGGAGGAGTAGTAAAGAGTATACAGCATTTTTTTTTTCAAAAAACCCAGGATACAAACAAACTTGTGAAACTGAAGAAATTTTGGCCGGTAAACATACTTAACTGCCAAGTAAAAAATCACTAACAGTGGAGCAATAATGGCTTTAGTACATGTGCCCTTAAGTTCCTGTGAGGAAGAAAGAAGTTTTTCCCACTATAAGGACACCTTATGAAACAACAGGAGGCAACCAGAGAGAACCTAAATCATTTAGTAACTGTGAACTGCAAGAGAAGTTGAAAGCATGGAGACCTAAATGTGAGTACCACTGTTTTTTTTAACTTGTAATGAAAAAATGTTGGCTTTGTTGCACGATTTCTATTTAAGTATAGCTTTTCATTGAAAGTGAATCATTCAGTGGTTACATAAAATTAACTTTTATTTAATTGCCAGTGGGGTAAGTCCATTGCACTGCGGCCACTTCTGGCCTACTGTACCAGCCCCAGATGATAGGTGAGGGTGATAGTGGAACAATTTGTGGAATGAAGACTGGCAGGGGAAACCGAAGTACACGGAGAAAACCTGCCCCAGTGCCGCTTTGTCCACCACTTGATCAGACCCGGGATCAAACTGGGACCACTGCGGTGAGAAGCCAGCGACTAACCGCTTGAGCTACAGCGCGGCCTAAAATTAACTTACATGTTGATTCGTTGGTCTTAAAATAATGCAAAGTCAATTTTCATATTTGTTATGAACTTTTTATGTGCATATTTTACAAATTTTCATGCATAAATGCATACATATTTAACTTATTATTAGGGCATAAAAATCTGGTCCCTAGTTATGAGAGATAAGGCACAGTAAAATTTGGTTTATCAGATGTAAGAGCCATGGTGATCATAATCATGAAGTGAAGAATCATAAAGAGCGAACAAAATACATTGTAAAATAAGGCACTGGCCAAACAATTAATATCAAATAATACTACACCTACGCCACAAGCCTCCAAAGCAGTTTACTATACGTATACAAGTCTTGAATATACCACTATATGCCCCCTGAAATATAACAAGATTGCAACAGCTGACTTCATAATATGTAATATCACATGAAGAGTTTTTAACCATATTTTATTATATAACTTTCGTTTTATAATAATTTTATAATTCACTGTATATTTATACCTTGTACTTTATAGTGCAACATACATGGTGGGTCCAGGATCTGTTAGGACTCATTTTTTTAAATTTTGCCCTATGGGAGAGTTGTAGCATTAAGATTCTTGATGTTTCAGCCATGGCTGTCTATAATTTCAAAGCACAAGCATCGCTGCATCAGGTGTTCTGACCTTGAATGTAACAGTACTGTTCTGACGCTCATCAGAAAACTGTGGTTGAACAGAGAGCCAACATCAAATTTTGTTTGAAGTGAGGCAAAACAAACAGAGAAGCATACAAAATGATGAAAAGTGTATATGGTAGTGATTGTTTGAGTCTCCTGAACATTTTTCGATGAAATGCTGTATTTCATGATGGCAGAGAAGACACTGAAGACGCTCCACGTGCATCAAAGCTGAGAACAAGTCGCACTGAAGAAAATGTGAAAAAGGTGACCGAAATCCTTGCATCAGACAGATGTGTTTCTGCAAGACTCATCGAGGAGCTTTTGGGAATACAAAGAAGTACTGTGCCTCAACTTTTGAGGCACAGGATTTGGGCAAACAGAAGGTCTGTGTGCAGTTTGTACCGCATGCGCTGTCAGGCGATGAAAAACATACCAGAGTGTAACACTGCAAAGACATGTTATGGTTGGCCCCAAAGTGATACAAAATTTACAAAACTGATTGTTACTGGTGACGAGACATGGTGTTTTCAATATGAGCCTCTAACAAAGCGGCAGAGTGCAGCATAGTTGACCCCAAAGAAGCCGAAACCAAAGAAAGTGCGCATGGAGAAGAGTCGAGTAAAGACTGCTGTTTTCTTTGATTCCAAAGGAATCATTCACAAGGAATTTCTGCCAGAAGGTCAAACAGCGAATTCTGATTATCATCTTGGAGTCCTCAATCGTTTGTAGGAGAGAATTCTTCGAATTCGACCTGAATATCGAGAACAAGGTTCCTGGTCGCTCCTCCATGACAATGCCCCACCCCCACAAATCGAAGATCGTGCATGATTTTTTCGCCAGAAAAGGGATCACAGTCCTTGATCATCCTCCATAATCAGCAGATTTCCAGTTGTTCCCAAAAGTTAAGTTGGCAATGAACGGAGACCATCACAACACCATCCAGAACATCCAAAAGGAATCTACCACAGTTTTAAATGCGATTCCACAAAAGGAGTACAGTGACTGTTATCGAAAACTTTTCAATCGATTCCAGCTATGTATTGATTCAAAGGAGACTATTTTGAATAAAGAGTGGAATTTTGAAAATAAGTCACATCTTGTAATTTTAATGAACACAGTCCTAACAGAACCTAGACACACTGTGTAGTATCCAGCTCTACTGTCACAATGAAATGCAGTTCAATAGTGTGTGGAGATGGTAACCATGTATTTTGCCTGATGATGGCTTTAAAAGCCAAAACATGTAGCTAAGGTAATGATGACCTCAACCGTTATGTTGTGTTACGACGGATTCCAATAAAAAATGGTATATCATGAAGTGAAGTTAAATTAAGAAGGGGGTGTAATTTACTCTTTATGCAAATTACTTGGAACTGCATAACAGTGTTTGTAACTCATTTACACAAATGTCAAAGAATGTAAGATCTGAAGTTTCACAGCAGTGACTATGAATAAAGCAGCCTTCTGGGATGTTGTGCCGTGTAGATACTGTGTTAACCGATGTTTTGGAGGAACGCATCGCCTCCATCTTCAGGGTAGAAGAAAAGAAGAAAATCTGCGAGCGAGGAACCAACATGAGCATGTGCTGACAGACTAATGTCAAGTCAAAGACCCAGCTGTATAAGTGCAGGAAGAGATGGGAGAGGGGCTACATGGGAAATCAGTAGAGAGGAGAGGGGAAGGGACTGAGGAGGTGAGCCAGCAGGTAGCAGGCCAGAGCAGGAATAGAGTATTTTGTCGGGGGNATAAGGCCTTGTGGAGCTGGGACATAATGCCACATCCACAAGGCCACACAGGTCCATGCCTGACTTGCACCGCAGCCCTTAAGTTTCTGGGTTAGTGCACTTCAATAAACCTTGCCTTTCAACTTTATATTTACAACATACAGCACATTCTACAATACCATACCTCGAATTTGTCCTGTAGTCATACACAGGTATTTCACATTTCTTTCCAGCCAGTATGTCACGAAGAGTCTGCAGTATCAGATCATTGTTGAAAGCACCTACAAATTACATGAAAATGCTAGTAAACTCTGGAAGGATCATAATATTTTTTAAGTGCGACAAATAATTGTTAATGTGTGTATAAGTACAAGCTTATTTTTTGGTACTGTATATGTATAACGTAATACACACTATCTTAAATAATTAAAAGTTTTATAAGGAACACAGAACAGAAAACCAACATAGGATGTGCACCAGCTCACGGGCTGGGTTAGATCACCCTTGCATTTGAAACACAAACTGGGTCATTCTCTGGGATGATTCAGGCAATGACAACTGAATACAATACACAGCAAACAGAATGTCAGACTGCCATGTCTAATGAAAATGTTGCTAGAAAATTAGTGAAGCATATACATTATACATCATATGATATTTCAATAACCATAGTAACTTGGAAGAAGACTTCAAAAGCTCTCTTACTGAAGCTATTCACTCAACCCTCTGGGCTAGACGCTTCGTTTCTTGAAGACATTTTAGAGATGTGTGAACAAGAATATGTCTAAAGAAGATATATCCAGTCAATACTGAGAAAATACTGTCATGTGATAGTGTGACTACAGACAGGTCTTGGACTGATGACCAGATTTATTGGACTCTTTGATAAAATGACTACACTTTACAGTTCACTATTATAAACACAATAGTGTCCACAGTCATGTCTTCACTAGCTGCTGCTTGGGAGCAGCTTCCAATGGAAGATCTTCCCCTTCCTCTGGGTTCCCAAAGTCTACCCATCTCAACTACCAGCTTCTAATAGCAAAAGCTCACAATGACTGAGGCCCAGTAGTTCTCTGACTGCAACTGCTCACTGGTGCTGGTTATAACACATTGGGATGGACTGCATTATTGCCGTGTTCTCTTGTTGCTGTGGAAACATGCTCGTTTGCAGAACCATTACTCAGCAATGAATGTTATAGTGTTTTTTGTTTCATGGTCATTGCCTAGCAATGGGTCTACATGCCCCAATACTACAACAGCAAAACAATTCCAGCACAGAATTTATACTTTATGTGTGAATATGTAACTCCACCTACTACATATAGGACCTTCATTTTCACACTCCTACAATCTGCCAGGGCAGGTAGACTCTGACTTAAAACACATGTATTTTGGCTGCTATTTACTTTGCAGTATAAGCCATAACAGGGACTCCTTAGCAGGGGCCATTTTCAGCTGAGATTCAATAACTCTGGCATCAAGAAGCACACTCATAGCATTAACCCAGCAGACTGGCTCTTGACATTTCACAGTTCTGGGGAGTACTGCCTTGTAGGACGTAACAGCGTGCAGTCTGACAGAAGTCCACCAATGTTTCACAGGAACATATTCCCTTCATTCTGAGGGCTGAAGATTCCCCCATTCCCCAAAAAATCTGTGCATGTGCACACACACACACACACACACACAAAGCAGCAAGAAGCAGGGAGTTCTTTCTTGGCTTCAACTTCAAACCTGGAGATGAGGGCTGTACATTCCTCTGAAATGTTGGTGTCTGGTGGACTACACAGTATTACATCCCAGAAGACAGCAATCTTCATAGTCACTGCTGTGAGAACCTCAAATCCAACAGAATTTCAAGGATTTCTTTGCCAGTTTCTCATGCTGCTCCTGGAAGTGTAACAGAGTACACTCTGCCAGTCAACTGAACATGCTCCCACAAACTGATGTTTGGTACATGTAATTTGGTTAATGGTTAAATCAAAGATAATGATCTGGGGAAAGATAAAGAATGTCACCAACATAAGCTGTTACTCATTTTCGGCCACAGGTAATCTGAAATGCTAACAGAACAACTTGAAATTGGTATCATGTAAACGGGTTTGTTTACCTTTCTGCAAATATGAGCTTTGTCATTAATAAAGATCTCTGCAAGTCTTTCCTAAATTTTAATTCTAATCCTTCCTGTGACTTAAGAAATAACTTTTCAAGCATGCCTCCATGACAAGTACTTTCTAGTATCCTTATGATTAACCCTCTGACGCCCAAGCCATAGGATGTAACTGCAAGAAATGACAAGACACCTGGAATTAAACACAACTGTACAAAAATTCACAACACTTTTCAGAAATGACCTTCAAACAGCAACAGGTACACTATGTAAGATTTGAGGTGATGTATGACTTTACGTCAGATCCACAAGGCCACGTAGGTCCATGCCCAACTTGCTTCGCAACCCCCAAGCTTTAGGGTAATACCGCCCATTTAACCTTGCCATTTCTCCCCCCAACACATACTCCATACCTACACTGGCCTGCTACATGCTGGCTCACTTCCCCTCCCCCTCTCTACCGATTCCCCATGTAGCCCCTCTCACTTCCCTTCCTGCTCTTATACAGCTGGGTTTACTTGACTGGACTCAAGTCTGTTGCACACGCTGGTTTGTTCGCAGATTTCTTCATCTTCTATCCTGAAGATGGAGGCGACATGTTCCTCGAAAATGTCGGTAAACACAATATTTACACGGCACCACATCCCAGAAGACTGCTTTCTTCAGCAACTGATATATTTCACTTCAAACCCAATTCTTTCCTCTAAACATCAGAATGCCACCTATTGACAGAAATGCTATATCAAATGATTAACAACAAGCTAATCTCTCTAGCTGTGGTGGTGTTAACAAACGTACACTGAACCAATCTAGCCAATATGTGGCATAAAAAAGTTAAAAATAAATATTATTTAATTAATAAGCCATAAATATACATGCATATACCTGAACCTTCATGCAGAATTAAGTACTGCACACAAACATATCCTCCAATGGGTACAGGAATTAAAAAGCCCTGTACAGTTATCATTAACATACCCAATTAACACCTTGAGGACCGGTCGCACAATATGCTTTTGGCTTTTAAACGTGGCAGACTGGTCGCATGATATCATGATTTTAGGACACATTAGGTTGTAACACACTATACCTTGCTCTGGTGCCACCCTAGTTGCACACAATGGCATAATAAAACTTCTGGAATGTTTGCTTCCTTGTCAGTAACTTTACCTCACTGCTTTCTTTTCCCCACTATAAATGAAAATGCTTTGCTGCTCTTCGAGCAGTATGTATCAGCCAGTAGTTAGTGTGGGGTATGGACAAGGACAAATTCTTCTCTGATGAGCTAGCTGACCTGCCTCTTGTGAGACGTGTAGTCATGGTGATTCAGAGAGCGGCAGTGACAGGGGAGAACAAAGGATTGTGGCCACAGACAGTAAAAGTGAAAGTAGCTCAGACGAAAATGCGGGTAGGACCATTGCAGGGAAAGCAAAAAAAAAAAAAAAAAATTCACAAAAATCTAAACCCTGATTCAAAATTGAAATTGAAATACAAAGCATTTCTGATGAATGTGGCAAAGGCCTGGGCTACAGACCAGATGGTGGCGGCAGAGCCAGAGTCACACACAGACTTAGTGTGACTGGGCCCACCAACTCCCACCCCATGCAGGCCTCATGTGGACCCCCCAGGGCGACTCTCGGGTGATATGCGGAAACATACCCTTGTGAAAATTGAGAAGAGTGAACATTCCAAGGGGAAGCATCCTTCTAGGCAATGCCATGTTTGCACAGTTCACAAAAAAGGGAGTATGACTGTCTACATTGCAGGTTCTGTGTAACGNCAAGGAGTTAAGTGACCCACAGCTAAGAAGCTTTAAATCACAAACTGGTAATATATTTACTGATGAAGAGTTACTTACCTGGATGATCAAAATTAAAGAATCCTTTTTCTGCCCTCAATTTTTCTGCAGGAGTGAGCTCTCTATAAAAGCTATCCTGGCTGATGCACACAACCTGCCTTTCTGTGGTGTCCATGTCCACTTGTCCCAATTTCTCCATAATACGTTTACAAACTGTAGACTGGAAATTACAATATAGATTTATTAAAAATTTACTATAGACACACTAAAGCAGAGACTCTTACAGTACAGATTTCCAGTCTATGAAATGGATCTTAGAGAGACAGGATGGAGTATTATGGACTGGATCAATTTGGCTCAGGATACAGACCAGTGGAGGGTTTTCGTGAACATGGTAATGAATCTTTAGGTTCCATAAATTGCTGGGAAATTCTTGAGTAGCTACACAATTGGCAGCTTTTCAGGAAGGGCTCAGCTCCAAGAAGTTAGTAGTTCCTCATGTTTCGACACACATGATACATTTCTACTGTCATAAAAACATGGTGGTTTGTCATGAAATATCAAAAGACAACCAAGGGGAAAAAAGAGATTCAGAAATGCTGCTCCAATAACACCTTACATGTGAAAAGATCATGAAGACATATAACATGAAGTGAGCAATAATTAACTTGTTACAAAGAGTCCCATAAACCTGAAACTGTACACAATACTGCAGTTTTGACATAGATGACATAAAACATGCTTGTTATATCAACCATTCACAAATGCACAAACATTTCTGCAAACCAAGAGAACAGTACAGCTTGTCTGTGATATAATCTCACTGCAAGTGACATGTCACTCTTGAAGGTGACATTCCTGTGGTTCCAGTCTTATGAAATGCCCTCAATAATGAGTCACACACTGTTTCACTATGGTACGTTACACATGAAGCTTCTACGATATGACTTCTTGGTTATCACTAAACAGAATTTTATGCAGTTGTTAAGATGTGACAAGAAAATTAATATTTCAATAAGATGCCACAGCATATTGATTCTACCACTGTTAATGTAATCAATTAGACATTTTGTGTTTTGTAGGTATTATGATATTTTCTGCAAGTCTCTTCCCTTACACTTCACACAATACAATGCAATATAATACAATACTTCAGTATCAACAACCCACTAATATAAATTCCTGCAAAAAAAAAAAAACCCTAGCTCTTTCAGTAGCAGAAAAGACTGTTCCAAAACAGCAACTATCAACTTTTAAATTGAACATTGTGAGACGGATGCTACTGTTACCATCCATTACAGGAATCCATATAACTAAGTACTTGAGTTAAAATCTACAAATATGAAAGTTACAAAATTAATAATGAGGATATGTAGAGGTGAAAACGGGTCAGAAAGTGTCGTGGCTTCTTTCTCAAAGCTGGTCACAGGTTGTGTTCCAAAAATGAACATGAAAATTTTTCCTCATGCCCAGGCATTCCTTCAGAATGTGAAGCACAGTCGTATGTGCTAATCCTGTCTCTCAGGCCAGCTCATGAATTGTATGGTGTTGATCACTCTCCAGTAACACAAAAACAGCATATACTTCTTCTTCATTGACACTAGGACAACCTGCCCAACACATGTCTGCCACATTTTGGCATCCCTCGTTGAAGACGTTTACCCACCTTGCCACTGTTCTGTAAGGCAATGCAGATTCCCCGCAAGCCTCTTAAAGACCTTGATGACACTGTTGTGCTGTACGGCCTTTGGCACATTCAATCTTTATTCAACTCTGTTGTTCCTGTTTCGAAAACATCGTAACAACACTACATTAGACGGCCAGATAACACGAAGCTCTGTTCTTCTCGTCACTACGCATGCGAGTGATGTGGGAAGGGAGAGTCCATTTGCTCTGAGATAAGGTAGGTATGTAACTAACATGTGGTATAAGCGACATTATTTGGTTCCGTTGCCAGGCATCTCTACAGCAGTGTTGCCACTATTAAAGTTCCAATCCTCATACATAATTTGTACTGTCAATGCAACAATAATTTATTATTTATTTATATAGCACACACTACATGTTTCCACCTCAAATGGGTCATCTTCAGGTGCTGAAAGTTTCACACATACTATTATCAAACTGCAATGCTAACATTCCCATTTTTATAAATGGTTTGTATGAGTTAGTTTCTATTCAATTCACAATCTAGACAAAACTTAGACTAGACTCTGGTTAAAATTAACAATAGAATACAATAAAATTACAATAAAAATAATAAAAATTGTACATGCAATAAAGTTTTATACAATAAGTTAAACCTAATTTAATAATTAGGTGATCCTAAATCCACAATTTGATATTTAAAAATAATTAAAAAAAATTATGTTTCAAGATGTTACAAGCTGCGAGTAGCATCATGTTTGTTACTGCAGTAGACCACACATAGGCTTCGTCAAATGTCTTCTAGTGTTTGCTGCATTGGTTTGGCTTGCCATGTTAGTATCACAGTGTTATCATTTTCCTAGACAACAGATCCCTCTTCTTTCATGTTGTCAGGAGCCAATGGTTATTATGTGGTGTTTAAAAATATTAAAACTAAGAAAAATATAAAAATGAATTGGTTTATTCACTGTTAGGTTCTCACTGGTATTTAGAAAATTTTACTTGCTGGAATTTTCATCCCTTGTATTTGTTTGGTGTATATTACATCTTATCTGTGATTTTTGAGGTTGACAGATTATGTCCCATCACTGATTTTACAGTATTTGTAGTTGTCCTTTTTAGAACCTAACTCTTTGGTTTCAACTTCTATTTTAGTCAGACTCTGGCCATTACATTGTGCATGGTGATAGGTGCAAGGTCTCATACATTCACCACCTGAAACTTTTGTCTCCTTCCAGTTTACTCGTGTATATCCTGCCCTGTGTTGGTTCTGATCTCCACAAATAGGGACTAGCTCTATTGATTAAACCCAATTAAGTAGGCTTCTTGACTAAGGATGGAGCCAGAATCCAGCCAACATAATGTTGCTTCAAACAAACCCTGGCTGATGAATAATGTTCAAAAAGTAATTTGCTGTATTAATATTACATCATCACAGTCTTTCATATCTTAAAGTAAATTGTAATTAAGATATTAGTATTAAAATTAGTTTAAACTGTTTGAACACATGGGGAATGTGGTAGTGTAGTTGGTTGAGGCACTATGTTACAAGCTGCAAGGTCAAGGGTTCAAATCCTGATGAGGTCACTGGATTTTTCCAATTGACCTAATCCTTTCAGCCACAATATGACCCTGAAGTCAACTCAGCCTGTAACAGAAATACAAGTACCACGAATCTTCCTGGGAGGTAAAGAGCAGCCAGCACATAAGGCTGACAACCTCACTGCCATCTATGAGCTGATTGTCTAGAAAATGTGGGAGCTTCAATGTCTCACAATCCCATGGGCCTCCACAGCCTGTTACAGGGATAGCCTTACCTTTACCTTTTACTGTTTGAACATTGTTTAGCTTCTTTATCTGCTGAGATTTCTTCAGATACTCCAAAAACATGACAAAATATAAAAAAGGGGGCAAGTTCAGATGAACACTATTTGGTTGCTTTTGTATTTGTTATTAACACATGTCAAGTGAGCAGTGCTGTATGATGAAGGAAACTAACAGGGAAGTGATGAATATTTTATGTACGTAGAAACATACAGCAGTATCTTAACCTTCAAATGTCGGACTTTTGAAATGGTGGTAGCTTGTGCTGGCCAGAGTTTATTTAAATGCCTGCTGCTGAATGCGTGTTTAAATGCCTGTTCCTGTTATGGCACTTGCACTGTACTTGAAAATGCTGTATCTAATACAATTTTTATAATAAATGAATTGAATTAACTTCGTTTTTATCATCAAAGAACACAGTGTCACATACTATAATGTAAGATTTGAAAATATGTAGACAAAAAGTTATAAACTATTTTTAATCTTTTTATTGTCATTTTGATGCATACTGTAAAAATATTTCCCACTTCTGTACATAGCAGTTCTGCATTATAAAATCATTCCTGCTCATTATTCCCTACTTCAGTGTCTAGCACGCAGTGCAGCTGCAAGAGAATATTGACCCCTCTATGGTTGCAACTCAATGCTTGCATCGCAGATTTGATACAGAGTGCATTCAGTTTTCTGTGAGTTCATAGCGAATTTGAATATTGTAGTTTAATTTTATAATACAATGGCAGTGAAACGTTGTCTGGAAGATGATGAAATAGAAAGGCAGTTGAAATGCAAGATATGTATGTGACGTGGGACCGTGCTTTCTAGGGTGCTTCAAGTTGTATTACACAAAGGCGTGATTCAGTTACAGGACGCGGGGGTTGAAGCCTGTATATGGGTCAGGCAAATAACAAAAAAATGTATGTATATTGAATTTTAATATATTTTAAAGTAAATAGTTAGGATTGTGCATATGGCGTGTGCGCGAGCTCCCACTAGCGGCGTTTAAATGCCCAAATGCACAAAACGGGGTACTTTGGCTATGACGACCATACTCATCAGTGTACTGATCGGTGCACTTCGAACGTTAAGGGTTAATTTACCACGACCATTGCCTCACACGTACGTTGTGATGAGGAACCTATGGTTTTAGGAAACTTTCAGGCATGACACTCACCTTTCCACTAGCTGTGCCACCAGCAACTCCAATCAGAAATGGAGTTTTGCCTTCTACACCATTGATTTTACTGCCAAAACGAATACCTGCATCATTCGGTTTACGTGCTTCGGATATGTTCTCCGCCATACTTATACACCTTATACACTCACTGCGCTACTGATGCCACTAATGTCGCCCTTATAGAATATTCACAGTTCAACAAAACACAACACCAATATCACAGTTGTTTACATTTCACTTCCTCGCCAACTGTAAACTTAAATATTCAGGATTACAGGCGAATACAATGACCGGTTTTCGTACTATAACCGCTAAATCCTATGCTACTGATCCTACTCGTTAGGACTCTTGCACGGGGGATACAAACCTGCATGCAAGAATTTCAAGACGCGCAGTCGTTAACCTGCGCATACTGCTCCTGCCATCTCTACGTCTGTGGGCACACCAAGGCAGGTGGCGAATGCAACGCAAGCGTGATATCTAATTTCCAACTTTTCAACTTTATTTTCGTCCATATCTGAAGTGAATACGAATGGACATGTCAAGAAATAATAACGAATACATCACATGTCAAAGTCACGTAAAATTTACACATTGATCTATAATTATAATATAACTACACTTATAAGGAACATAACAATAAAAAAACAGAAGATCAAAAGAAGAATGTCGGTAATTTAAAACATGTAAGGACAATATTAAAAATTGCAAACCAAAAGACAATCAATAAGCTAGTCATCAATCCAACATTAGTTGAAAAATTCTTGAAGAGAATAGAAAGCGCTGCACAGCAAATAATTTTTTAGTTTCCACTTAAAACGTTAACATTTTTAACGCTTTAGTCACTCTTAGAAAATTTTTCTTTCTTTTAAATACATTTTCGGAGTCCTGTATGGAAATGAAAGGAAATGAATGAATGAAAACAACAAAGATAAGAGTATATGTGTGTAGTATTAATTTGCGTTCAGTGAATTCAGTGGGTTACGTTGGCAATCCTGACTCGCAGAAGTTAACAAGTGAAGTGCAGTGCCGTACATGGCAATTTTTTCAAATTTGAATTAATTTAAAATGCATCGTTTAGAACGTAAAGAACATTCAGTAATGAATAGGAGTTCAAAATCATTGGTGCTTTATTTGTTAATATTATTAATGAGAAGTGGTGATGCATCAGTTCTTGATTGGATCTGGGGAGGATCTCAAGAAAATTTCGATCCTAGGCCAAAAATCGGTGATGTCCCTATTGTGAAGGTTCCTTTTGAAGTAACAACTGAAGACGAGAAATTCCTCCAAGAAGCAAAAAGATACACGAGTTTGGAGTTGTCAGATCTCGACAAATGCCAACATCATGTGAGTAATAATTCATTATAATAATGTGATAACCGATATCATGACAGTTTTTATTATGTTAAAAGAATGAAAAATTTGCAGGTTGTTATGAACATCCGTAATTCATGCTCAGATCTGACAGAGGAGGAACTGGCAAAAATGAGCGTGAATCTACTGAATTGTCAGTCAGCAGTCGAAGGGAGAAAACATTTTCCCTGTACCAGCAGCATGGTAAGTTTTTCAACATTTGAGTTCAATGTTCAATTTATTTACTTTCCGTAAATCCAGATACAGGTAGACACCATAGGATATGGAACAAGTCAAATACAATATAAGTATAATGACATCTTTACAATAAGTCTAATTGAAAAATTAATAAGATTACAGATTACATAAATATAAGTTAATTGTACTTATGCATCACAATTGGAGCCTGTTAACAGAGACAATGTCGATGAGTACATCGCTAATAAGTAATAAAATTATAAATTACATAGATACAAGTTAATTATACTCGTGCATCACAATTTGAGCCTGTTGTCAAAAACAATCTCAATGAGTACATCGTTAACGGTTATGAAATATGTAAGTAAAAGTAAAAGCAAGCATCAATCTCCATTCATATGGAATTCATAGATTCCAACAAGGGAGACTTGTGAATACAATAAATTACGGTCAAAAACGGCAAGCAGGGCAACAACAACATAGATAAAAATATTCTTCCAATGAGTATAATTTGTTGATAGGATAATGGCTCTTCTTTGGGTGGAGGGTGAGTAGCAGCCAGCAGACTACCTATATTGGTGGTTTGATAATTTACTGAAATAATCCCTCCACATAAATTGTTTTCTGTGTTAATTTTAGGTTAGGTTAGTTTTTAGTGTAGATTAATATTTGTCTAAATATTTTGTTTAAAGAATCTAAAAGGAGATAATGATGTTTTATTTTGTGTGAAAAAGGACACAAAATTCATTCATGGTGTGAAGAATTCCTTTTTTCTTTCTCTTTCTCTCATAGAAGACTTGGTTCAAATATAGATGGCTTGAGTATCATCTAATATATGTAGCTAAAATTTGTCTATTGTGACTGATGCCATAAAACCATATTGCTATTCTTAGGGTAAGTTGAGTCTGAATTGCTTGGTATTTAGACCATAATTGGCAGTTATATCAGCCTTGGATGATAAATGAGAAAAATGGAAGCCTTTGATGGGCTGAAAAATGGCAAGGGAAACTGAAGTTGTTGAAGAAAGTTTTCCCTACTGCAACTTTTTCATGACATATTGCATATGAACTGGCCTGATATTGAACCTAGGCTGCTGCGGTGAAACTAGAAGCCCATACTAGTCTCTTAAGACAAAGACATACTGTTCTCTCAGATATGGAAGTACTTAGTTCGTCAGACTGGAATGCCTAACCCTTTGAAGTCTGCTTCATATTCATATTGTCATGTGTAGGGGGGTACAGATGACAAAAATAATGGGTTCTAGATCAGATGATTTGATTTATTGGCACTTCAGTTACAAGTTCACTTAATCACACCTAGTTATAATACTATCGCTAGTCTACACACTTTCAGTTCACTGTTACACACGCACTAGAGTTCTCTGTCTTCACTAGTCATCTCCTGGCAATGGATCACAACACAGAAACTAGCACTTCAAATTCCTATGGAGTCTTCTTGCCATTTCTTGTTCAATCACCTTGGAACCTTCGAACTTGACTAAACATTCATCTACTACTCCCTCCTCCACCTTACTGCTTGCTTGCTTCTGCCGCTTAATTCTCCTTCCTAGGAATTCTGTACACTTATATAGATGCAGCATGGACACACATCACAGAAAATACATGTCACGTGTTCACTATCCAGCCAGTCCCTTGTCATGGTGGCTGGACCCACAGAAAAAACGTCACATGACCTCAACTCACTATTGTGTTACATCACCACGGGCACAGAGAAAACACTGTTCCAGTATTGTTGGTCATGTGCGTGTTGCGGGTGTTGCCTAGCAATATACGAGGGGCGTTCAAGTTCTAAGTTCTCCAATTTTTTTTCTCAGGACTGGGAGCAGATAGACACATGCGGTTTAGTTTAATATACGTGTGCACCCTTTGTGAATGTGTGACAGAGATAACAGCACTGTATGGCACACAGAACTCTAGTGGCGGCCGCAAGCGTGAGGAGTGTTTTTGATACTTAAAATGGCGACGTTTACGTTACAAGAACAGCGAGTAATCATTCGTTTTCTCCACTTGCGTGGTGCCAGGTGATGTTGACATGTGATGAAGGCATGAATGGGACTTTCTTTTCATCAATTGTGACAATGGATGAGACATGTATGCTGTTTTTCAATCCTGAAACGAAGCGCCAGTCAGGTCAATGGAAGCTCACAGACTCACCGCCTCCAAACAATTTTGGGTAAGCGCCAGTGCTGGAAAAATGATGGTGGCCATGTTTTGGGAGAGCGATGGCGTAATCCTTACTCATTGCGTTCCAAAGGGCACTACGGTGACAGGTGCATCCTACCAAGATGTTTTGAAGAATAAGCTCCATCCAGCACTACGAGAAAAACGGCCGGAAAAGGCTGCACGTGTGCTCTTTCACCAGGACACTGCACCAGCGCATCGGGCATACGCGATGCAGCAGTTTCTTCGTGAAAACAACCTTGAAGTGGTTTCTCATGCTCCCTACTCACCTGACCTGGCTCCTAGCGATTTTTGTCTTTTCCCAACGATGAAAGACACTCTCTGTGGTCGCACATTCACCAGTCATGCCGCTATTGCATCAGCGATTTTCCAGTGGTCAAAACAGACTCCTACAGAAGCGTTCGCAGCGGCCATGGAATCATGGCGTCGACGTTGTGAAAAATGTGTATGGCTGCAGGGAGATTAGATTGAAAAGTGACAAAAGTTTTAAATTTTTTGAATGATTATTGTGTGAGAAAAAAAATCGGAGACCTTAGAACTTGAACGCACTACGTATTTACAACTTCAGCTCCTACATTACAGTAAATGCAATGAATCTTTATTACAAAGACCTGACACCTAATGTTCTTTAGGGGAATAATTACTGTTTATTCTGAAAATCATACAAAACATAAATACACTGTGTTGGCAAAATGCAAAGGTCCTTTAAATCTTAAATCAGGTGTGCATATAGTTACCATTCGGCTCTAAAGGGTTAAATGAAATGTCAATAATGTATCCTTTAAGAACAGAGTAGATTGGGGATGGGGAATAGGACATTTAAAATATCCCACTTCAGGGTAGGCAGCCATGTTTTAACTTAGGAATTACTATATTTGTATGACGGGAACACTCAGCCAAATGGACTGCGCATGTGTGCCACCACAGTGATGTGACACCCAGCAGGTAAGGGTTGGAGATTGGCTCAGATGGACACATTGGTTCTAGCAACACAATGTAAAAGACAGAATGAGTATGTCAGAACTGCAATTTCAGAGCCTTCGAGAGTGCACAAGTTCAATGGATCCAGTTGTGTGGAATACATACCATCTGATGAACAACCGAGCCAGGGCCGTTTGTTATGCTGCCAGAAACCAGCAGTTCCGAGCTCTGTCAGAGATGACAGTCAACAAACTCATGGACACTGCACACAGTCAGCTCAACATGATGAACTCTCTCAAGGTAAAAGAATAAAGAAAATTAAATATTACATTTGGTTAACCATGGAACGTGTGGTTTTACATTAATTGATTCTAAGCGATGGAAGTCACAGATAAGAAGACAAGTTTTTTGCTAGTTACTGAACTGAAAGGTTCATTCTCCTCCTCCATGGTTTTGTATCAGTAAATTTCTATGGGGTGGAGTTGTTAGTCCCACACCCAACTCATAAACTGGAGAATCAGGAACTATACTTTGTCAGGCATGGGTAGTTCTACCAGGAGCTTATGCTCCCACCAGCATAGCTCTCCAGGTCACTGGGGCATGAAAACCTCTCCACGATGAGGTAATAGTCCTCGAGGAGGTAAGGTTCAAGGTTGTAACCTCAAACATTGACCACACCCAGGTCACAGCTGTACAATCTGTTTCTATAAGCTCCTTCATGTTATTCTTACATATGTCCTAGAAATTAAAGAAAAAACTTTACATACAGGGTTGCATCTGTCAGAGTACAAGGGGCACTCTGTCACATTATCATGTCCAGTTTCGATGTACCTCATTAAAATAGAAGCCTACAGATTAACATTTTAATTCACTTTCTGTTTATTTTATGGAATACAAAAGCCAAAATATTGTACTTTACATGCATGCATTAACTTCCTGTTGATGAACAATGTCTCTGGGACATTTTGGAATTTACTCTTAACACCTTATGATCAAGAGATAGTAACTTTATGCTAATCTATATTGCAGGAAGGCCAGGAGAAGTTGGAGTCACTGACAGCCAGTACAATGGAATCTGTGTCTCATGGCCACCAGTCCCTTATGGATCAGCAGGAGAAGTTAAGAGTTACACAACATAACATTCATGATTTTGTAGCCCTGAATTTGCGAGAGCTGACACGAGAGAAAGCATTGATAGCATCAGGTCACCGCGAACTTGCCAAGATGATGGATGATGTCAGAAACAAATTAGGCGAGTATGATTTGGCAATTTGGATTGCTCTATTAGAGAATTCTCCGCCTTAAATGAGATGCATGTATTGGAGTAATGTGTAACACACTTGCTTCATGTGTAGGTTGTCCTGTGTTCTACAGTTTATTTTTCTTGAACAAATTTGAGGAAAACCATGAGAAACATAGTCCATAGGTGGTTTTCTGACCAGTATTGAACCTGGTATGTCACAAATATTTGTATGTATCATATGACATTGTCAGTAACATTGACTATACACTGTTGATTGAGCGGGTGACAAGAGAATAATAATTGGAAGGGATGTGAAAGGAAACAACTGTGGCCCAATTTAAGGTACTGACACATGCCAGCCTCTGCAGTTTACTAAGTTCAGCCCTCCTGATTTTCTTTTTGACACCCTGGGCCACAACACTACAGCATCATACATACTGATGGACTCTTACTATTGCCCTCTATAATAATGGTCTTGTTTGTGTGTGACAGATGAGGCGAGTTCAGATCTCAGCAGCCAGGCGAACGAGCGCCGTGAGAATCACAAGCAGCTGCTGGAAGATCTGGACACTATTCTGGACCATGTATCTCTCATCTGTCAGAGGATTGGTAAAATTGCTTCATGTGTTTACAGGAGCTTACTACTAGACCCTGTTCTGAGCTAGATGAATCTAATTAACATCATTAATAACCAAACCTCTCCATTTGTGTCTCTTCCCAAAGTTTCTCTGCCTTCTCAGTTTCCTCCCATATTCTTCCTTCATGTGATATCTTTCCTAATCTGTTGTTACCACCTCGATCTTGATCTTTTTGTGCATTTTGCTCTTTGTTTAATGTTAAAAAACTTGGGAATTCTAGATTCAGCCATTTCTAAATTGTGCTTCTACCATTTTACTCTAGGGCATGCCATAGCCTAGTTGGTTGATGCACAATTCTACAAGCTGGAAGGTTATGGGTTCGACTTCCAATGAGGTTATTGGATTTTTCAATTTACCTAATCCTTCCAGCCGCATTATGGCCCTGGAGTCAACTCAGCTTCTAACAGAAGTGAGTACCAGGAATTTTCCTGGGGGGTAAAGAGCGGCCAGCGCATAAGGCTGTCAACCTCACTGCCTTCTGTGAGGTGATTGTCTAGAAAATGTGGGAGCCCTGACATCTCACAGACCTATGGCCCTCCATGGCTTGCTACAGGGTCAGCTTTACCTTTTTACCTTACTATCTTACTCTGTTATTTATTAATTTATTTTACAGTTTACTTGTCTTTAAATTCTCTCATTTATTATTCTCCATCTTCTGGTTTCTCCTTCTGTACTTGATAAAAATTACATCTCAGCTATAGTTAATCTGGCAATATCTATCTTTGTTCATGTTCATGATTCTGCACCGTACATTGACATGGGCACATAGTAACTTTTAAATACACACATTTTTGCTCTCTCTTTCATGGCCTGTTTCCAAAGTAGATCCTGACTAATTGGTAAGCTCCTGCTATTGATGTAATACAATGGAAACCCCATCACATATTCCTGAATTTTAGGTTTTTTCTCATTTATATTCAGTTTCAGTGATCCCACATCAGTAGACTTGGTGTTAAATGATCTTCATTTAAAACTTCTCTCAATTTAGTTCGAATCCACTGCCCCTGAAAAAAACCTTAGACAGAGGTTTCACTGTGTTGAGTACTGAAGAACTTGGTCCTCTTGCCATGCATAGCAAAGTATTATCATTATCATTACATTATTACACTTAGCTTACGCCTTGGCCCTGTGGTTGCCTGAGAACCTTGGCCTTCTTTACAAAATATGCCCATTCTTCACTGTTATTTGCTTTTTGCCTTCATTCCTACTTTGAACTCTTGCAAATTATTCATTGCATCTCAGAACTAAGAAGCATTTCATATTCTTGGTGCTAGATCACAGCATGCAGGAGATCCTTGCATGGCATGAGGCAGCAACAGCACAGTACAGTTCAGCACTCTACAAGCTGTCGCAGATCAACGTCACAGTCAACTTCCTCCTGGATCTGCTGGACAAGACCAGACATGTAAGTGTTTGTAGGCACATCCAGTTTGTCCTTATTGATCAGAATGACAGGGTATTGCCAAATTTAAGTTCTGTACATTTTCTTGAAGTATCGAGCAGTGTTTGAGGAAACTGTTCACTTGGAATTAAAATATATAGGCCCTACACACGGCTACATGTGTGCCAACAGGGACTGAGGGGAAAGGCAAAAAGTATTTAAAAAAATAGAGACTTGTCTTCCCCGTTTAAACAAATACTGCCTAAAAATCATGATCACCTAATGTGGCCAGTATGCTTCATTAGATATAGAATGTGATTTGGTGTAAGAGGCTGATGGAGTTGCAAAGCAACTTGTGAAACAATACACACATGGGTGTTGATGTCAACTTTTGGGTATCAGGTATACTGTCCATAGCAGGAAACTGATACATGCATCCCATCCACCTGACAAACATTTCTCTTAGAACATCCTCCCACACGTTGCAGTGTTTATCATGATATACATACTGCCACTTGTGTCGTTGCATATTGTGTCCTTTAGTTCATTTTGTTACTGTTTATGTCTATCTTGATGTTTTATGTCTGTATTTGTGCTTTTCTGTTGGTGGCCTCATTTGTGAACTGTTTTCTAGGAACTGGATGAGCGCCTGGGCTGGCTCACCAACCTGATGGGGGACACTGGCAACCAGCTGGATCACCTTTACAGCTGTGTACTTCACTTTCTGTACCTGATTGCAGGAATGATCACTGCAGCATTTATCAGAGCTCCAACCATCACACGTGTTTTCCTCCTCCTCATCGCGCCTCTGAACCTTGCTGTCACATACAATCATGGGGACACAGCCGCCCTTAACTTCTCATCCATGACCATACTCATTTTAGCATCAACAGCAGGTAAGTGTTACTGAGATCACCTCACTGTTTGGTTATGTTGGGTTATATTTACAAGAGACACAAGCACAGTGGTGCCTACTTATGGAGTTGGCAGTCAAAAAGACAAATGCAGAACCGCCACTGCCATACTGAATCTTAAACCCCAAAACCAACACAGATTCATTTTCTGCAGAGTCAGTGTGTGTATGATCAGCCTGCTGAGATATGAACCCAAGACTTCCTGAACCACCTGAATGATAAGTTTGGTGGATCTTTTTTTGTGCCCTAGAACAGTCAATTTGCCACTGTTTATAATGGTGCTTTTTTTTCCCCTGTGCAGTCCACTACATGATCCAGAGAGTGCTACATTACTGGGCACCCAGACAGGCTAGACCCTTGTACAGTCTTGATGGCAGCCAACCACAGCCAATGACCAATGGGTTCATTCCTAACCACTTATCACCTGTGAAGCCTATTGCTCTTGTGCTACCTCAGAGGAGCATCATAGGCAGGCTGCAGCTTTTCATGGGAAACTTGTGCAGAAGGCTGAATTGTAAGTTGGGTCCAGAGGAGCACAGTCAGTCAGTGCTAGTCACAGAATATTTCAATTCATATTTCTGTCCCCTTGCAGTTCTTGCAAGCAGATGGACTGGTCCCACAGAGTCAGTGTCACCTGCTGTCTCATCCAGAGAGGACACTCCAAGGCCTGATGAAAGAGAACACATCCCGACTCCTATGCCTGACAGAAACCTAGGTGAAGGCTCAGGTGACAGTGATGAGATTGCCTTTGGGAAGTACCATTTCACAGAGGTGAGGCCAAGCTTCTCTTCATGTCATGTTACAGTTATATGAAACACAGAATATGTCTTTGAAGTTTCATTGGTCTCCCAGCGGAGAACTGTTTGGTATCATACATCCAGGGGAGCCCTTGTTTAATGTTCTTTGTTTTAACCTTTTCACCTATTTAACATTGAATTTTGATGATTAAAAAAAATCCGTGGCTTCAGTCTGCAAGTGAATTATACTGACCAAGTGACAGCCGCTTGTCAGCGAATTTACTGCCAACTTTAGCGGCGGACAAAGGGTGTCATGTGGTCAGCACAACGATTCCCCACGGCTTTTAATTTCTGTTTTCTAGACTGGAGCCACTACTTTTCCATTCATATAGCTCCTCCATTATCCTCACAAGGCTGAGTGGACCCCATTCCAGACCCACTTACTTACTTACTTACTTACTTATTTACTCACTCATGGAGCTGAGCCCTTCTGGAGGAGCCGCCAATTCTGCAGCTACTCAAGAATTTCCCAGCATCTTATGGAACCCGAAGGTTCATTACTGTGTTCACAAGAGCCCTCCACTGGTCACTATCCTGAGACCAGATCTATCCAATCCATACCATCCCATCCCATCCTATCTCTCCAAGATCCATTCTAATATTGTCCACCCACCTACGCCTTGGTCTTCCCTGTGGTCTCTTTCCTTCTGGCTTCCCCACCAATATCCTATACACATTCCTCGTCTCCCCCATTCGTGCTACATGGCCTGCCCACCTCATCCTCCTTGACTTGATCATTCTAATTATACTTGGAGAAGAGTACAAGTTATGAAGCTCCTCATTACACAGTTTTCTTCAACCTCCTGTCACTTCACTTCTCGTTGGTCCAAATACACTCAACACCCTGCTCTCAAATACCCTCAGTCTATGTTCCAGACCCATTACTTCTCAGAAAATCTGATAGTCCTGGATCTGTAGCCAGGAACTCTGACCACATAGGCAGTTGAATTTTGATGACTGCAAGTCAGTAATCTCAGTGCTAAATTACCTCTGTTTAGTATTTTCATTTTATTGTTCAGAGTCACTTGTAGCTCTGTAGCATTGTATCATATTGCATAGGATCAACAGAAATATAGAAATGTCCTGTCACACACACTATATTCTCTTAGCAGGCTCTGCACAATGGGCAGCATATTTTGGCATATGAGGGGGTGCCCAAAAGAAACTGAACTTATTTTTTTTTAACTTATTTATTCAAATTTTGAGCTCAAACCTGCAAAGTAGATAATCGATGCACAGATAATTGGGGGTGTACTGTATATTGTAAATTTTATGTGAAATGGTTCCACCCATTAAGACTGTTGTACTACATGTATGTTATGCCATTTTTTGATAGGGCTATGCATACTCCAACAATTGCAGCAGCGACTTCCCTCGTGTTCGAACTGGCATATCACCAACACTAAAGCAGCGCTCTTCCACACCGATCTCCCCACCCACACCCATGCGCACCTTGTCCCGCAGGTGAGTTATTGTCTAAATGACGAGTCACATTTATTAGTTAAGCAGTTTTAACTTGTTTATTGTAATTTAAATTCATTAAATTATATTTATGTACTTTTGGTAACTTTTTTGTTTCAAAGAATTATGTGTTTTAGGAATTCTTAACACTAAGATGGTTCTTCCTTGCTGACAGGATTGTTTGCCTTTATAATGACTAATCTGTAAAATCAACAAAAGTTTAATACTGGGGCCATCACTGTTGTTCCCATTATTTGGTGCAGCTGTTCTGATCCAAATACATGTGACTGTCATTTATACATGGCAATTACATTCCTGAAAATTGCTGTGTATAAGGAAAATACATAAAATAGGAAGTGCACAACCACAAGCCTTTTTTGAAAAGGGCATCAGGATGCTTCCAGAACATTGGAAAAAATGTGATAACTCCGGGGGGGAGTACATTGAAGACTGACATGTGCAAGTAAGTGTTTGGCAATTATAGTTTAAAAAAAAAATCAGTCCCACTCATATTTGAACCACCTTGTACATTCCCTCAAAACAAAAAGCTCTTCAGGTTATGATGGAATAACAAGTAAAATTTTAAAAGTTTGTGCATCTCTAATCGGTAGCCCAGTAACTCACATCTCTAATCACTCGCTATCTATGGGAATCTTTCCTGATCATCTTAAGATTTCAGTAGTAAGACCACTATTTAAAAAAGGGGACAAGACTAGTATGTCAAACTACAGGCCAATTTCACTGCTAACTACTTTCTCTAAAGTACTCGAAAAAGTTATGGACAATAGGTTAAAGCCATTATTTTCAGAGTAACAATACAGAGTTAGCCTAAAAAAATAGACACTTTCAAAATTTTACAGAAAGAAGAGTTTTAATAGCATGGCTGAGATACTTACATGGTTTGAAAAGTACTCCCTGAAGTTTACATGGGTAAGTTACAAGTGTTCTATATATGACCCTTTTGTAACACGACAAATATCAATGCAATAGTCTAGTGCTTCCCAAATGCTTCTTAGCATACCCACGTCAACAGTTGCAGCAGCTACTGTGATGCATTGTTTAAGAACGTCCACACTTGTAGGGAGGGGAGGAACATAAACTCTGTCCTTTATGTAGCCCCATAAGAAGTAGTCACAGGGTGTTAAATCCGGACTTCCTGGTGGCCAACATTTAAGAGCCATGTTCTGGGCAGTTGGACATCCAATCCAACGCTGAGGCAATTTTTCATCCAGGTAATTTCTAACTTCAAGGTGCCAGTGCCTCACTGAAAATAACAAAATCCTCCGTCACTCATTCTGTATGGACATGCAGCAACGGAATGAAGGAAGTAATGATTTCCTTAACCGGCTAGTTTTCAGTGACAAATCAACGTTCCACATTAGTGGTATGTCCAACTGCCCAGGACATGGCTCTTACATGTTGATATTTGTCATGTTACAAAAGGGTCACATATAGAACACTTGTAACTTACCCATGTAAACTTCAGGTCATACTTTTCAAATCATATAAGTATCTCGGCCATGCTATTAAAACTCTTCTTTCTGTAAAACTTTGAAGGTGTCTATTTCTTTTAGGCTAACCCTGTATACTAGTCCCAGAACAGTTGAGCTATAGGAAAGGAATTTCCATTGAAAATGCAGCCTCTAAGTTAACAGACAGTGTTGAAATCTATTAATCAAAAAATGCATGTTGGTGGAATATTCTGTGACTTGGCAAAAGCTTTTGACTGTGTAAATCATGAAATTTTATTATCTAAATTACATTCTTTTGGTTTTCAATGAACAATGTTAAGTTGGTTCAGATCCTACCTAACAGATAGAAAACAAAAGATTGAAATAAAATGATCAAATTCAATTCAAAGTACCTACTCAAACTGGGGAATAATAAAACATGGAGTTCTGCAGGGATCAATTTTGGGGCCTTTGGTTTTCATAATTTATATAAACCTCCCTCCTACACTAAGGACTTCATTAATACCTACACTATTTGCAGATGACACTATTTTTTCGCACATGAGTAAATGGTTTCCTGCAAACAAGCTGTCCCTGAACCTAGAAAGAACAAATGTAATAACATTTATAACAAAAAACTCACCACAATATCCATTACACATAGGATATAATGATAAATATATAGAAGAGCGAATAAACACAAAATTCCTTGGCCTGCAAATTGATAATCATTTAAACTGGAACAGCCATATCAATCAGTTGATTCCAAATGTAAGTAGAGCATGAAGAAAGTTGTCTTCTGGGTTTAGGCACCGTGTATTCTTCGTTTTGGCCGACGTTTCGGAGGAACGTAGCGCCTCCATCTTCAGAGCAGTTGAATAGCTGCGGAGAGCAGTAGCTGTGGTGATAGGATGTGGAAGGTGCTGCTTATATACGAAGTAGGCAGGGGGGNCTTCATAAACCAATTGTTAACCTATCATGCTTTCAAAAAAGCGCAGATTATGCTTGGATCAAAATTTTTAATAACCTGCCATCAGACCTCAAAGGTCTTATGAATGAAAAGGTATGATTTAAAATAGCACTGAAACAATACTTAAATACACATTCATTCTACTCTGTTGATGAATACCTATTGTCTAGAAAATAACTTATGTACCTTTAAATAGCCCTGTGTGTAGTCACTGTGTATTCTTGGTTTCTCTTGTGTGAGAACTCCATTGGGACTGTACATATGTTTTGTATTTATATGACATATTCAACATCCTACAGTCATTTTGGATCCATGGAATGCAATGCAATATAATATAGTATAATGTAATTAGCTTAACTGGTTTCATGGGTATCCCAAACTCTATCAGAATATTGCACAATACTTCCCTCCTAACTGAATCACTCCTTACTGTAAAAAATAAAGTTGTTATGAAAATTCTCAAGAAGTCTCGAACCTAGATGGATTCCTTGGATAAATGATGTGTGAAAATACAGATTAAAAAGCATTATAATGAATGTCAACCATACTGTACTACAAAAATTGAATTTTTAAATCTTGTTTAGTGACATTCTGAAGTGTCTTGTTTGTCTGGGTTAATCTAAAATTTTGATTTGGCTTCCTTGTTTCAATTTTCATTGGTGTCACATATCTTGTTATATGTGTCCTCTTACATTTTTTGGTTCCACCCAATAACTTTCAAATCAGATAACAACAGTGGTTCTTCTGCTTGGAGTTCTCCCATTTACCTCAGTTCCACATTTTCACACTGCATAGCGATGAGCATTTCCTCTTCCTTTACTGTATACATTTATCAGTCACCATATTTTTGGTATCCTTACACTCTTAACAATTTGCCTTGCCTTGTTCTCCACAGTGGAACACCTTCTCACCCTGTATTACCAAGACCAGTATGCCGTGCTATCTGTCGGAATGGTCAGCAGTGTCGCAGCAGTGCATCTCTGGGCAGTGATGTGTGTCGGAGACACACACCTTTGAATCATCGTTTTGCCGATACTGAAAGTTACTGAAGGTGCTTCCATACTCCAGATGGTCATACTGTTTAACACTGGTACAAGTTCCTGTCACAACATCTGAAATACATAGTTGAGCTGACACACATACTGGACATTTTCTGTTAACTTTTTCTGATTAAAGAAATCTGTGTTGGTAGCTAGGCCCGCTTTTGTTGTCTGGAAAAAGCATGAAATCTGCTCTAATGGATCCCATTATATGCAGCTAATCTTCACCCTGGTTTCAGGGATGATGGAAAATGCCCCGTATATTTGTTAGTTTAATCACACCTTCATCCCTTGTAGCAGTTACAGTAAACCTTCGCTAATCCAGGTTAACTGGGAGAGAGATGTCATCCAAATTAAGCGATAATCCAGATTAGTGAAGCAAAAGGTAGCTTTAAAAGAAAGAAAAATTTAGAACATCAATTAATGGAAAAATAAATGATATAAGTAGTGCTGATGAAAATAAATAAAAAATATCACTGTAGAACCTTTATTTGAAAACTGTAAAAAGACAATACATGTATTCATTCATTGATAGAAGACTCAGAAGTTGTACTTGTTTTTGAACGTAATAATGCAGGTTTCAAGAAACTGTCAAATTTTGTCTGAACAGACAAGTGAATCCTATGCCTTCCAAAATGCTGTATGTCTTCTAAAGTATTGTCAGGATTTAGATGCAACTATAGACAGGATATGGATTGTTGAATAGATTTCCTAACCACCTATAGGTCATAACTACAAATAACTATAACACTATCACTGATTTCCACCCTCTACAAATCACTACATGCTGATCTCCAGCCTGCAGCATCTTCAGTTTATTAGTTTATTTAAGAATCTGCTGCCCTAGCAGTGGGTGTGTAGAGGCAGATAGTGTTTTGGAAGAGTAAAATTAGGTGATAAAAATTGATACCCATCATGGATGGAAAATTTATATTCTTGACTCAGCACGGTCTTTGTCTTAAGATTATATATTATTTTTGCATTTCAGAAGAGGATATGTGGACCTAACTGGGATGAACAGATATCAGAACTGAGAATATTGCATAAAGAAGTACCCTTCAGCTACCACTAGGGTAGGACTGGTAGAAGTGGATCATAGATAAGTAAAGTAAAAGTAGATGTATCCCTGTTAACAGGCCATGGAGGCCCATAGATGGTAGTAAGGTTGTCAACCTTACATGGCGGCTGCCCTTCACCCCCAAGAATATTCCTGGTACTCATTTCTGTTAGAGTCTGAGTCGACCCCAGGGCCATAGTGCAGCTGGAAGGATTAAGCAAATTGAAAAAATCCACCTCATTGGGATTCGATCTCGCAACCTTCCGGCTTGTAGCATAGTGCCTCAACCAACTATGCTACCATGTGCCCATGCACATAAAATTCTTGTGAAAGAGGATATTGCAAAAATACATATATAAGACAGTAACATGAAAGAAATATTTGGAAAACTTGCATCTTTCTTCAGAGTTTCTATTCATTCTGATTGACTAGCAGAAGTTGCAGATTAATCAATCACACAACTTGGACAGTGTCAATCTTTGTAATTTTAATTTTCAAATAAAATGTTAAAACTCTTTGATCATATTTATTTACTCCTAGTTCATTTAAAGACTCTTCCAGCTCCTGTGATTACACAGCATTGGATGATGGACCGAACAGTGAATAATGAACTTGGAAAGATGTGGCAGGGAACAGTGACAACCTAATTTGAGGTGCTGTTGCAGTATCTGCTTGGAGAGAGTGAGAAAATCCATGGGCAACTTCAATCAGTCAAGACACTCTCCAAGCCAAGATTTAAACCTAGGACCTCCCAAATATGTATGAGTGCTAATCACTCAATAACAATATTCATTAAACTCTGTAACTATGTCTATGATCTGCCTACATGCCTAAGAATACTGATTCATTACTTATCAGGACTAAGTTGGAAGCCAAAACAGATTTTGTGCACCATGGCTATTTCATTAAGTTGTGATAGTGTCCCTCCCACCTCAGAAGTTTCCATTCTTGATGTATTAGTATAGACAGTAGGTAGATGAAATGTTCAGAATTGAGGTTTGCCTCTGGCTGCATGTCATTCATAACAAGTTTCATAAAATTCTGTTGATACTGAAGTTACTCGAAAGTAGGAAACAGAGCTTCTTCCAATCTGCTCATATCTACTTTGTCACATATTCCAGAATCGGGTCTCTACTTTTGTCTAGTAGTAACTATACGAAATTTGGCCACTGTTCTGAATATTATTCACCCATTCATTTTCTGCTGTAACATCAATTACTTTAGTATCTCTTTTAAATTTATTTCTCTTATGACTTCTCGTTTGTCTACCATGTAAATCAGAGCTTGTGTAGCTCAGGCAGTACTGTGACAAGGCCAAGCACTGGCCGACCAGAAATTGCAGTCCCACTTATCTCCATTTTGTGCCAAGGTTAAGAATGTGTGGAGTTATATCTCCACTCCTCTATATGTCTTGCCTTACTATATAAAGTCAAATTCTAAACTTCTGATAAATTGGTCCCAACTTTCGTCTCTACCCTTTAAGTTGGCTTGTTACCACATTTATTTTCACTGTGCGCTGTTTTTTATTTTCAGCTGTTGAGTTTTGCAATGTTTTTATATTATTAATCACTACCTTTTTCATAATTTACACCATGTCTCTTAGGGCCCCCATACACACACACAGTTTGGCCTCCAGTTCGGCCTGCACAGTTGAAGACTGAAAGGCAAAACTGACGTGTGTGGTGCGGCCGGCCAGTCATTTGGACTGTTGGCCTGTGGGAAACCCGTCAGTCTGTCAGTTCTGCCTGCAGGACCGTAGCACGTGACGTGCGTGACTCAACATTATAGGCTGGAAGACCGTGATTGTGGCATGAAGCCTGCCGCTTTATCTGTGCATGTATGGGGAGGAAAGGGGGTAAACTGTCACAGTCTTGCCTGTAAGGTCGATTGGAAGGCCAAACTGTGTGTGTATGGGGGGCCTTAGAGAATTATCATTTCTTATTTGCAGACAGGTGGGCACTGGCAGGGAAAGTAAACCCTGCATCTCCCCTTTCTCCAGGATTTTTCTGGGGGGAAAAATTGAGGTTGAAAGAAAGAAGNCTGGTCTGTCAATGCTTACATCTATCAATACTTTGTCTTGCAATAATAGACCTTAAAAATCTCTTCTCTGCTATTAGAACAATTTTCCTTCAAACCATCTTTGAGGGATATTAATCTTTGTAGATACCAAAAATATATGAGCCTTTGTATTCTCTTCTATGTGTTATTTATATGTTTAATTTTTTCTTATTAAAAATTATATAATCTGCTATACTTTTGATATGCTGTTGAACACTTAATATATTTACTTATAGACAACCAAAAACTGTTTTTTTAAATAGAAGACACTTGTGTCAGATATTTTAAAGTTTTAGTTTAGAAACTACAGAAAGTTACAAAAATATTTTTTAAGCAAAACATTCTACACAGTTCTTTCTGCAAACCTAAAGCTCCACATAAAGGGAAAACAATTCCTGAAGAAACTGTTGTGAAAAATTGGGCTAAGTTTAATACAGGCTTTTGAAACTTTCTCCTTTCTAAAGATAGAATTTCTGAAAAATGAATGTCAATAATTAATAGTTAATTTTGGAAACAAGTACAAGCCTGATGGAACCAGGTTCATTGAATAGGTTCTGAATCACATAACAAATACACGTCCTCTACAAATATACATAATATAAGCATGTTTAAGTCTCTGAATATTACAGTGTGATAATACTGCTAGTTTATCATACATGAAAGACTAAATAAAATAATGGACTTGACTTTAAGCATGCTTGTGAAAATATACTAAACATGATGAAACTGCAATTGCTGTGTACAGTGAAACACAACCCATTCATCATCATTATTATTATTATTGGAGGGGGTGGGTTTCCTCATGCACCGCGACTAATAGTCTATTGTACGTCCCCCTCTGATATTCTACCAGTCTCCATACCCTGCCGGTACTGGTGCTCGCTATCAGCCCCGTTCAGCCAGTGAGGCTGACTGCGGTACCTGATGCTTCCCCATCTACCGGAGGCACTGGAAACTACTTGGGCAGGAAACTTTTTGCCTAATTTAGCTCAGAGGTCTCCTAGAGACATGAGGATCTTTTACGTGCCGTAAATCTACGACACGGGACCCACGGCTTAAAGTCCCTCCCAGAGGACTTGTTCCCTGAATTTTTCCGCCTTTAAAAAGTCCACGACCTCCGCCGGGTTTGAACCTGCATGCCTTGAGTCATGAGGTGGGAACATTACCCCTAGACTACGGAGGCCGCTACCCATTCATCATATCTGCAGCCTTCTCTCCAGTGGTGAACCAAATACTAAGCTCTCGGATTCATAGCACTGAATTTACTCTCCAGACAAGAAATCTGTGTTGAGACATCTACACTTATCTTACCTTGGCACCAGATGGAGGCAAATGATCAACTTAATGCTCAGACTGTTTAACTCCGCATAGATATCTATTGGATAGGAAACTGGGTGGCCCCAAAACTAGTCTGAATATGAGGATAACAAGAATAATTCTTTACAATTCTATACAAGACTCACTTACTTTATATTTCATGTTGGTATTTACAAATCTTCTGTTGTACTGTGCTCAGCCTTTCACCTGTTTTGATTTTTGTGTACAGCACAGGAAAAAAAGAAGGGAACATCCAGATTCCCTCTTGTCTGTGCTCTGCTATGTGTACCTTTGCTTTGACAATGTCTATATTCACCTTGCTTTCAAATACAGTACATTATCAACACACACCCATGTATTGGTCTAGATCCAACACATTTGGCACAATATGATTTATAATTCTTCCTTTTCAATTATATATGTAATTAACAGGAACACATACTACAGTCTGTCTGTTTCACTAAGTACCACTTGAATTCAAATCCAGTACTTAACATATATAGATGAAATGAGACATACAGTCTCAAAAATGTTTTGTATTATTTTGTATAAAATCATGATAAACTGATACAAAGACCATAATTACAAATATATAAACAATGTTGACCTATTTCTATATTTTATTCTGTCACCACAATGGGTAGTATGGACACACCACGCACTGTGGTGACAGAATAAAATAAAGAAACTTCACACAAAATGATGCTATTTCTAATCTTCACTTAATAATTCATTACAACTATCATTAGAAATTTAATCTCTCTTCTCCATGAATGGCCATATTAGCGAACAGACTTAGTTACCCATTATATTGAGCACTTCCTACAATTCCAAAAAACAGATTTTTCACAATTTGTCTTCAAGCACATGAGATAACATCATCCATCACACTTTTTATAATTAATACATGCTTGTGCCTTTTACAAATATATATCCATTAGCTGTAACAAAATTTAATATTGGTGGATATTCTGCAGCTTTTACAACTTGTCATCTCAAAGGTCTGAAATACAATAGCATTTTAATGAAGATGTAAAAATTGAAATTTTATCAGCAGGATGTACAAACAAAATGAAATTAATGCATGGCAAAATTTCAGATTGAAATTACATGAACTACAAATATTTAATATACTAGCAATTTTATTGGTTGGTGCGATGCATTCAGGTGATTCACCCATAATATTGGAAATCACAAATTTTGACTTCTAAGTATGGCAGAGATCATGGCAGTGATACTTATAACAATTTTATGCATTAATTTTATTTACTGCCTGTTCCACTCAAACATCACACTTTAATGTGAACCCTTAAAATGAGAAACAAATGTAAAATCCAACCAAAGAATATGAAATTTTAAGAAGTATTTGGGTGAAAACGAGAGAGCATAGAATTATTATAGATCAAATTTTTACAGAGAGTTAAAAATCTGTTAGAATTATTACAATGGTTTTGCCATGTAAAATGAATAAATAGAACATGAATACCAAGAAGGGATTAGAATTAATATTTAATGAGGGGGGAAAAAATACAGTACATCCAGAAGAGCGGTTAAGCAAGGTAGTGGAAGATGTCTGAAGAGAAGAAAGAGCTGGCAAGAAAATGAAAAGTAAAGAAAGTGGAAACATTATGTCTACTGACCTAAATAAAATATAAAATGCAATACAAAATGAAGATAACATGATATTACTTTCATTAACATGATCTTAATTCTATGTTTCACTGCCAAAACTTAAAATTCTCAATGATAATGACCACAATTTGATGTACAATGCGGTCACATTTTATGCGAATCTGAAATAGTGGGATATAAAAATTTTAATAAAGTCTCACTCTATGCACAAAGTTTGAAATATTGCAAAACCCAAACAATTCATCAAGCATCATGTTGCGTGTTCTAAAACTTGTCTTGAATTATGCAAGGCCTTCAGGAATGCATCCTCATATAAAATGCAAATGCACTGTTATATTTTCCTTTCACACAACTCTCATTTATGTGCCATCTCAATGACTAGAAATGACTAGCATGTTAAAAACAAAGCTTTTTATATGTAACATTCAGTAGTTATAACAACAACCTAGGTTTCTTATAGATTTCAGAATTTCATGGTGGTTCAGTACTAATGTGGATCCATTTTCTGCGTAATGGCATCATACAGACTCATGAAGCTTTTTCCATTTTCAGTGAGCTCTACAGCCTACATCGATATAGTGTCATTATGCACAAACAGGATCCTTATTAAACTATGGCATCTCCATGTGCAGTGTCATTTAGTTCTGAGGGTTCAAAATTTGTTCATTATGCATTAAGATTTATACAGTTTGCCCGTTAGTATCAAACATCTAAAATGATGTCTATTTCAAAATAACTTAAATGGAACTACTTTCAACTCTATGGTGAAGCTTCTAAGGCCACAAATATTGTATTCTTTCTCAGGTTTGAGATGTCACTGTACCTATCTTATGCAATAACATCCATTTTGTGAGTTTATCAGCCTGACAAAAATGGATGAGCTCGTTTCAGTAGTATATAATGCGACTGACTATGCCTTATAAAAGACTAATATCAAATGAAAAAATATAGAATAATCTTAATTAAGTTTCTTAGGAACACAGCAAGAAACAATGTTAAAGTAACAAGTTATTCAGATTAACTTTCGTTTCACTCCCTATAACAATCAATTACTGAACACTATGATATTTAGATTAGAATTAACACCACACCGTTGTCTTCTTCGTCGCTGTCATCATCATCATCATCATCACCTTCAAAAGCAAGTAATTCAGCGGCTTTCTGATATAATCTGTTCATAGCATTAGGCATTGAAGATGATCAGCTTGATGATCAAAATGTTGCACCACGTACTACTGGCAATGCACTAGAATGGTCCTGATTTCCATTTATTTGTCTTTCTTCATCACCACTTTGTAATTTCACAAAAGCTCATCAATATTTACATCCTGTTCTCAATTCTGCATTCAGAAAGCACTGTTGTCCTCTGAAGCAATTATTTTATACAAAAATGCCAAGTCTAAAAGAAAAATATTACCCTAAAATATGTATAAACTGACGTATGTTTCAGTTGCATTACTAATTACAAAGACATATATATTTCATATAAACACAGTTCATATACACTAGCTAATGTTTCTGCTATGACTTTGTGGCATATTCATTCTCAGACTCCAGTTCGTTCTCTGACAAAGACAAAGACCCTCCTACTCGTCTCCTGCGCAATGAAGTTTTCTCAGTCTGGAAATGTAAGAATCACATCCAATTTAATGTATACACCATATGTTAAAATGTATCAAATGAGAACATAAAAGACTTCATTACTACTCAAAATAAAATTGGCACCACCTAATAGCCATGCCTCAACAAAGCTTCTCCAGTGGTAAATTACTTCTCTGTTTTATTTATATATTGTGGGGGGGGTGGATTCAAAACCATCATTTCAGTATTCAAGCTGTGAATTTGAAATGCATGTATTGAGAAAAAGTGTAATTTTGTAATGAGAGGGATTCTACAAATTAATTAATAAGCTAATCCTGCAGAAACTGTGGTAACTGTACTAAGGGGGACCCAAAAATAACTGGAACCGACCTGCTGCGCGCGCATGCTTTGTAGTTACGAGTTGTGCTGCTAGGTGGTGTTAGCTGGGGGTCTCCCGCGACTGTTAGTGAGCTGGCATCAGTCTGAGTTAAGTGGTTTGTCTGTGGTGCTCTGTTGTGT